TTGTTACACTTGGCAGCAAATCAAATAAATGGATTTAATTATTTAAATGTTTAAATTCATTTTTAATTCATTTGATTTCCGGGGACCCTTTCGTGCTGCTTTGGTCCTGGTGTACAGACACCGCAGCTCGCAGAGGCATGGGGTGTATAGGCAGCGGCAGCAGCACTTCTCTTTGTGCTGCTTTTGCTGCTGCTGCTCTTTTGAGAGAAGCAAACCGGGGAAAGAGACCCGACAGGCCCCCGCTGCTGCTGCTGCTGCTGCTGCTGCTGCAGCTGCTGCTTCTGTTGCTGCTGCTGCTTCTGTCCGCCGCCGCGACAGGGCCAAAGGCGCGCTGCTGCAGCAGCAGTTGCTGCTGCTGCTCCTGCAGGCGCTGCTGCTGCTGCTGCTGCTCTCGCTGAAGCAGCAGCAGCAGCTGCTGCTGCTGCTGCTGCTGCTGCTGCAAGCCCCTCAGGGCCAGCTGGCTAGGACTCAGCTGCGGGTCTGAAGAAGGGGCCCTCCGCCGCCACTGCAGGGGAGAGGGGCGGCAGAAGTGGGAAGCAGCAGCAGATCTCTGCTGCTGCAGCAGCTGCTGCTGCTGCAGCTGCTGCTGCTGCTGCAGCTGCTGCTGCTGCTGCTGCATTTGGTTCCCCAGCTCTACCCCGCTGTACGGGTAAGGCGAGGGGTGGCGGCGGCGACTGTGCTGCGCCGGGTAAGCTGCTGCTGCTGCTGCTGCTGCTGCTGCTGCTGCTTTTGCTGCAGCAGCAACAACGGGACTGTCGCTGGCCTCTAAAGAAAGCCGCGAGAGCCCCCGATACAGCTGCTGTCCATTAGCAGGCGCTCTTCCCGCTGCTGCTGCTGCTGCTGCTGCTGCTGCTGCTGGCTGCTGCTGCCCGTTGCTGCTGCTTCCATATTCATTTAGCCTTTTTTCGAAGTTTGAGTCTGGAGACTCATAAGGGGAGGCAGCAGCTGCTGCTGCGCTTTGTCTCAGCCTTAGTTGCTGCTGCTGCTGCAGGTGCTGCTGCTGCTGCTGGAGGCGCATGGGGTGCACTGCAGCAGCAGCAGCAACTGCTGCTGCAGCAAAGGATCTGCGGTTGCTGCTGCGCTCTGCATTTGCTGCTGCTCCAGGGGGCACTGTTGCCCTGCGGGAGCCTCTGCTGCAGTTCTGTATGCTGCCGTTAACTGCTGCTTTATAAGACAGGCGCTGCAGCGAGTCCACGCTGCTGCTGCTGCTGCTGCTGCTGCTGCTGCAGCTGCCGATGTTGCTGCTGCTGCTGCAGGGGTTGCTGCTGCCGCTGGAGCGGGGGGGCGAAGGCGGGGCGGCGAGCGGCCTGGCGCCGTTGCGGGGGAACAGCAAGCTGCTGCTGCTGCTGCTGCTGCTGCTGCTGCTGCTGCATGCAACTGGCTTCGCCAAAGAAGCCCAAGCTGCTGCTGTTTGTCTATTTGTCTTTTCTCTTTCCATCAAAGAAGCAGCAGAAAGACAAAAAGAAGAAATGGAGACGCAGTCGAGGCCCTGCGGAACTTCGGAGACAGCCGCAGCACGCAAACACCCAGCCTCCTGCTCCTCGCCTAGGGTTTAGGGTTTAGGGTTTAGGGTTTAGGGTTTAGGGTTTGGACAGCAGACGGTCCCGCGAAGCCCTGAAAACATTCTACCAAGATCCCCCCCAGCTTTTCCTGCTTGTGCTTTCCACGTGTTAATATGGTGCTAAACCCTAAACCCTAAACCCTAAACCCTAAACCCTAAACCCTAAACCCTAAACCCTCAACCTACTGTAGGTGTGGGCCCTCCTGAAGAGCAGCAAATAAACAGAACGCCCGTCCGGCAGCGCCGACATTTTGCTGGTGTAATCGTCGCTGAAGCAGCACCACTGGTTCCCCACAACTGCGGCTCTGCGCACAGCAGCAGCAGCAGCAGCAGCAGCAGCAGCAGCAGCAGCAGCAGCAGCAGCGGCAGCAGCAGCAGCAGGAACAGAGTGAGTTTGTCGGGCTTTGAGGGCTCAAACTGGAGCTGTTAAGGAGAAGTAAATGAATAAAAGAACACAAAAGTGTTTTATTAATTTTATAAATCAAAAATTAAAATAAAAAAGAAATTCAAAAAGTGGCAAAGACGAATAAGGCATTTCAAACAAACCTGAAAAGCAACTTCAGCAGCAGCAGCAGCAAGTTAAACAACAATAATTAATTAATTTAATTAATTTAATTAATTCAATTAATTTAATTAATTAAAATAAATAAATAAATAAATATATAAAATGTTTTAATTTAAAGACTTACGCTGTGTAGTGGCCGCAGTCTACAGTGCCCGACTGACAGACAATTCCCTCCAAGTAGAAAGTGGCGTTTGCAGTGGAAGGGTCTTCTGCAAATAAAAAAATAAAAATTTATTTTAAATTAAATTAATTATTTAAATAATCAAATTATTATTTAAATCCATTTGAAAGAAATAAATGCAACTAAACAACAACCCCAACAGCCAACACCGCAGCCAGACCCAGCAGCAGCAGCAGCAGCAGCAGCAGCGGGT